ACCACTCTTTCTAACATTCTCGTTAATGTTATGTTTACTAGTTTAAATTTAACTTTTATTGTAATTAAAACAATGATAAAATAAACGTTCGGACACGATACACATAAGCACGAAGTGATACTCAAAAGTTAAGGATGTGAATGCCATCTATTGTGTACATTCAAAGTTAGAAAATATAACATACACTTGTTTCTTTCTTTTTTTTTTTTTTCTTTTTTTTTTGTTGTGCTGGTCTTTCTAGATGTATTCCTCCAGTTCTTTGATGATCACCATTATTGTGTCACAAAATTTGTCTTTTTTTCCTAGATAAACGTGTGCTTAAATTACAGGTCTTACAAATTCTCAAACTTTTTCTTTTGAATTTGTTTCATAGAATGATGTTTGTAATTGTTAGCCAACAAGAAAAGCAACGAATTCCATCTTTTCCTTCAGAAATGCTTGGCTTGAACGCTAAAATGTCCCATACCTTTAAACTGAGACCCCATTTTGCAGAATAAAACGTTTATCCCAAACTCCAGTGCTATTGATAATAACATCGAAATGCTTCTTATGATGATACGGGTGAATGTATTTTCGGTTTTGAAAATTGTGTCAGCAAGACATGAAAGCTCCACGAATGACTTAAGAGCATACTTTCAATGGATAACGAAGAAAAGACACGTCTTGAAGTTTCTACATTTTAACCAGTGCCTCACACGGTCGCTTACATAATGCCTGCTTCTGGCAAAATGACTTCTGCTTTTGTTCGTTGTGTAGTTCTGTCCAGTTTTCCATTGCTCACTCAATAATTTTCTTTATGTGGTCTCGTTCTTCGCGGCATGCATTCGCTATACGATAAAAGGCATATATGATCTATTGAGTTCTCAATTTGGACGAGACAGGGTTTGGTGCTGCGAATGTCGTACACCAACTAAACTTTTCTGTGTGATCGTACTACCTTTTGGAGGTAAAACGTGGGTTATTTGAAGAGAATATTTTAGATCAAACATGTTAAACTCGTCAATGGATTGTTGGATGAATTGAATTTTGTCAATGATACCGAAGGTGTTAAAACTGCCTGTGTACAAAGCTAGATTCAGACAGAAGACTTCAAAACTATCGTGATGGATTGAGAGCTCTCTTTAGTGTAACATTATCTTTTCTCTAACACGGGATACAAAATATCGTTAAGACCACGAACAGTTTTTCTCGAGTTAAAAACTCAAGATACTTGCTATCTGCCTGGAATAGGGACGCTGGACTCCAGACTGTCCAAAAAGTCAAAAGGAAAGAAATAATAGGAGAAAAGTAAAGATTCCAGTCATCGTTGTCAGGAAGAGGATAGGTCTTCAGAATGTCATAAGAAAAAGAAAAACAAGAATAATTGTTTTTGCATGCATCTAGTTTGAACAATTATATAGATATTTAGCCAGTATACTAAGACTGCGTGATTTTCGGTATACATATTGAGGCAAACCCAGCAAACTCGTTCTGTATTTAAGCAACAGATGCCCTAATTGGGTTCATTAAACGATAAAACTTTGATATAGGTCACAGTCATCTTGACCCCCTGACTTTTTTAACCAAAAGCAATAGATGACTTTCTGGTCTCTAGTACAAGCCTTCCATCTTGTTTGATCAATATAACTGGTGGAAACTGCTTTATTGTGAGGAATCCAATTTTGTAAGTCTAATATAGAACCTATTTGGTCCAATAAGGTCAAATATATGGTGATGATGCAGGATTAAAGAGACATACATAGAGAAAAGTCCCCCCCCAAGCTAGATTTCTTTTTTTTTTATCTATTTTATGAAAAATGTAAAGTGACAATTGAATCTAGTTAAAGTTTTGAGCACTCCATGATAATCAGAGTAATTCGCAGAGGACTCGAACTGCTTAATACCTAATTCATACATAACTAGTTGGAAGATTTATGATATGATTAATCTAGTTTTGGGTATCTTTTGGTTAGGTTTTCTTACCAGTTGACAAGTATGACAAGATTTACAATATTTAGAAACATCACTCTCAATGTTTGGCCAATAAAAGTGATGTGAGATCTTGTGTTTGATTTTATTGACTTCTGAATGACCAGCCAATGGTTTTTCATGGGCTAAATTACAAATTACCGGTCTATTTGACTTAGTTACCACAACTTGATACCTCAATACATCTCATCATCAGCGAGTACCTTAAGTGTTCTCCACTGTTTGAAAAAGACCCTATTTGTCAAAACATAACACGTTGATACCTCTGCAGGTTCAGCCTCGATAAAAGACCTCTGAAACAGATAAACAGATATGAGATAACATTCTCACTTTCTTTTTCGACGACAAGTGATTGCTGTTTGTCACCCTGCTTAGAAATAAGATAATGATTAGTTAAACGAGGATCACAATGATCGATACTTTTTGATTTGATCAGTAACAGGAGCAAAAGTTACCTCATCAATAATCTGTCCTATACATGTCAAAGGAATAATTTCTTGATCACGTCATTCTCAAGGCTCCTTTTGCCATTGCTCTAGTAATTGGCAAGCAATGCATAAATCCAAGATTTCATTCTCAATAGGATCAACATTTTATCTAAACAAGGCTTATCAGTTACAAATGGATTAACCACAAACCTTATCTCCAGTGAAGTCATGGCCTTGCAATAAATGAACTCCCTCAATGGGCAATGAATTTTCAGCACCAATAGTCACTGGCCCTGAAACTATGTCCGTTATTATATTAACTGTTACGTATATGTGATTAAATTTCTTTTGTGTAAGGTTTAAAATTCTTTTTATTTCATTTTTGTTTCATTGTATTTAATTGCAATGAATCTTTATTCTCTTATTAGGATTTTATTTTAGTAGTGAGATATAATTTTAGTACAAACTTTGCTTATTTAAGACGAAATAGTAATACTTGAGGGTTGGCATTTAGTTCGCCTTACATTGGTAACAAATCAACAGAAAGTAAAAATGATTGGTCAACATCACGGACATACTTTCTCTGCGGGATCATTGTTTGTAAACAACCTATTTATATGATTGGTTTTTAAGTCGGTTTTCTCTGGACGTGACGAAACAAGCGTGCTAAGAGACCACATGACCAATCTAGCGAGATTTGAAGTGATGTTTTCGATGTTAAATACGCATCAAAGTCATTCGAAACCTTGAAGGAACAATGCTTATCTTTGTAGTTATATTAAATTTGTTGCCAGAATATTTTAATCTTCTTTTGGTTTTTGGATTAAATAATTTATTTTCCTGGGCACTCAACAAGTTGACTTTTTTATAAAAAAAAATTCTGAAAGATATTCAAAGAAATTAATTCTGTATTTTTTCGGAATAAAGACTGTGATTCAAATGAGGAATGATTGTTATTCATATATTAGATCCTATGTAATATTATGCTCTTAGCAGACTCTGTCACATAGGCAAGATCTAACTAGAAATGCATACAATTTACAACCATGAATAAAAAACTTAAATAAAATCATAAAATGAGTTACAAAGATATAAATAAACATAACAATAGGAAACAAGAAAAAAATTACAGAAACCTTTCATCACAGGTTAAAATTATAGTGGAATGTAGAAACATTTCATCACAAGTTATAATGATAGTAGACAACTGAATTTACATCATTGGTGATGAAGTTTTCAGTAGATTTCAATAAAATAGTAAAAATGAATTTGAAAATAAAAATTAAAATTTAAAGAAAAAAAGTTGGAAAAAGTGATCTTTAACACCAGTGGGTAAAATATGAAAAAAAAACATTGGAAAAAGTGATCTTTATCACCAATCAGTAAAATAGCAGTTTTGATAACTATTCCAAAGCTTTATAATCTGCTTATCTTATTACCAAATCTTCCATAAACTTTTAAAAGAGAATAAAGCAAATTATGTTTCACCTTTATATGGAAGTGGACAAAGTTAAAACAGGTTATTATTAAAACTTTTTCAATAAGTGGCTTGGGGACGACAGATAAATTTATAGTAGCTTTGAAAATTGTATGGGTTTGTAATCTTCTACCTCATAGGATATTGGTCACTTAGATGAATATGAAATATACAAATTTAAATGTGAGTTCCTATTAAATATAAACGTTATGCGTTATCCTAAAAGGCAAAATGCTTTTCTGACAAGGTTTTACTGGCTTGGAAACTGTTAATAAAAAATAATATAGCCGCAACAGGAGACCTTTTGAAAACAAAAATTATGGATGAATTCTCTTACATGGGTTAACATGGTACCTAATTTCTACAGGAAATTGTTAGAATAATCTATGTTGTTGATATGCTTACACATCAGTTAACTATTATGCATTTTGATAGCTTTAAAGCTAAATATGGTCTCAATATAAATTTCCTTGTCATTCAAGGTATAATTCAATATGTAAAATCCTTATGTAAAAAGTTCAGTTATATGTAATGACATTGGTCAGACCATTTATCGTTTTTCATTTATTTTATTTCAATAAAGAATGTAAATATAACAAATCACTATTGAATAATACTTTTAAACCAACTAGTGAAAATAAATGGAATTTAAATTTTTAATTTGAATATGGATATATGGCCTGACATATATGCTCAAGTTTTTACAGTAACAAGAAACTAAAAATTTCATAAAGGTTTCAAATTTGTCTTACTCATGGATTTTTATGAATGAATTATGTACAAAATAAAATTGTCTGAATCTGATAAATGTACTTTTTGTAAGAATGTCAGATAAACAATACTGCATTTGTTTTGGGAATATGATGTGATGATCAGGATGTGGGATGAGAGTGTGTGATTTGGGGTTTTAACATAGCTATAACAATTTTCCAGTCATATTGCTGTCTGCAGTGTGGCAGTTTATAGTGATGTCTTGCACAAGTCATAATAAATGTTGTAGGCATGTAGCATCATGTTCCGCCCAGTTATATTATCCAGATACCATGCCGACCAGTCCTAACACTAGCCTCTTAATGCTGAGCACCAAGCAAGGCAGCTGCTAGTACCACTATTATAAGTCTTTGGTATGACTAGGATGGGGTTTGAACCCATGACCTCCTGCATCCGATGCAGAAGCTTGAACTACTTAAGCCACTGGAATGGTTGAATAAGGAATGATTTATCCTACTGGATTTAGAAAAAAGATAGACATCTGGCCAAGTGCAGAAACATAGATACAAGTAGAGATGGAATATATGAACAACCCTTGTATTTTTTTTTTTTTGTTTTCTTATAGCCAAATACTCTATATATCTAAATGAAAGTGGTTATGCCTAGATTAGATGAACTAAAACTTTTTTTAAAGACTACCATAAACTGGAAAAACATTTTGCAGTCAAATCTGAAACGAAAGAAGTAATTAAGTTGTTTTGGGAACAGAGGAAACCTTTATTCTGCCAGTAACTAAGAAGGATGTATTACAATTGAAATGCATGTTTAAAGCAAGATGATATAGCATAAAATGTGTTTGTAATATAAGCTGAAAGCTAACCAATATATTTTTGGGTCGATTTGATGGTAAGCATGAATAAAAGAGTGACACAAAATCAATATCAACAAGACAAGATATTTGCATTTGTCTAAGTTGTGCATCACAAAAGACTATATAATGTGTGCATGTGTACTTGTATGATTTCATATCTTTCACTAAATGAATTGTCCATAGATAACTTTAAATCTACGGTGACCTGGTTATGGTTCTCCATCCCAATGGTCAACCTATTATGGGGACAAAAATTACAAATATTTAGTGATAAAAATGTTATTTGTGTGAAAACTATTCTTCCATTTTAAGTCAAATTTACATTAACTGCTGTTGGTTCAATTCCCACAATTGGATCAGCCCAGATCAGCTATCAAGTTGTGTGCAAGACACTTAAATCTATCTACATTCCACTGATATTATTCACAATGATGAAATGAATGAATTATAATCGCATGAGAAAAGACAGGAAAGATGAGACATAAAAAAGAAGGCATCTTGCTGATTATTTATTTTCCACAAACTGATACACTCACATTCAACACTTGACCATTCATAGTAATTTAAATATATTTGCATAAATTTCTACATTTTTAAAATAAAATAACCGATGATTATGGTAACATCTTAACTGGTGAAGACTCAAAACCTCCAAGACCAACAATGTGAGTTTACTGTACCTGGACCACTCTTTTTCAGCGTCAAACAAATGAGTGTTTTTGTCCTGTATTGATACAAATGATTTTTAAAATCATTCATATGAAAAACAAATTAAGTAATACTGGCTTCATTTCATGATGCTCACATGAAAATTCACTGAGCAACGAACAAGATATCATTCATGATTAATAGAATTTACCATATCCATTTATAGTAAATCCTTATCAAACAGATATCCAAATCTGAGGGAAGGAACAAGGTTTTGACTGCATACTCTGATGTCAAAATATGTTGGCAACAACAAAGTCCTGATGCAACTTGATATCAAACTTTGATGGCAAAAACAATGTTTTGATGCAAATTCTATTTTAATTTTTGATATTACAACTAGGGCCATAAAAGTAGAAAGCAAGTCTTGCATATATCTTACAATTAAACTAATCATTTGACAGCCAATATCTTAACAGAACTATAAAGCGTGTTAAAAGTGGAAAGAACATGAGCAAATACAAGAATTCACTTTAAACATATACTTCAGTCATATATGAAAGGTTACATTCATTTTCAGGAATTAAACTTACATTTGTCACACAAATAATTTTTTTGTTTTAACGAGATATATTTGTAGCCAGCTCTGAGTAATTTGTTGATATACTGTCCAGACATACAACTATGTAGCACAGCATACAAAATACAACCAAAAATATATAATGTAGCAAATCATATCTTCTACAAAAGACAATAACACAGACCTAAGTTAATATGATTTTATGTACATCAACTGGTCTATTTCTATGGCCATTCACATGTATTACAATCCAAGGTTTTCTAACAAATATATATATATATATATATACATGCATCTGTGTATAGAGTAACAGGAAATACATGTCAGTATTCTGAATACTTGTTATTATTAAAGAAAAGAAAAAAGAGACAAAAATATTCTATGTCAGCCAAAACTAAGATATATTTATTCCTCTAACTACTATCATAAATTTAACACAAACTTTTACAGTGTGTATTGAAATATAATTTTGAAACATATCTAATCATTCTCAATATATGTTTTGCTTAAATCAATGCTGTAAACCAAATTCTGACAAGACATCCATAAAAAATATAATAATGGTACATTAGGATTTATACCATACCATTTAATGTATAAAGAGCAACCAACAGGGTTGCAGATTTTGTGCTACAACCACAAAATTAGTCTGCAGAACTGACTATAAAAAATTCATTACATTGACAATGTAAAATGTACAGCACATACCTTGACCTGCTGACTCAATCTGGGAAGTATACTTGGGTTTGTAATGCTTGCATTTGGCTGTCTTTGTACAGACTGGAACACTTATAAATTATCAACGAGAAGACTTTAAAGAGATAGAATAGTATATGAATAGCAAATATATCAAACACACTTTACACTGAACATCTCCCATTACTTTTCTTACAGTGAAGCCTCTACTGGGTATAGGAATACAGACAACTTGCAACAACATCCCACCCACCCACTAACAAACATGAATTCTGGTACTGAATGATGTAAAATACTAAAATGAAATACTAACTGTAACACAATGTAAATATTGATATAAAAGTTTATTGTTAGGTTCTCTTCAACTTTGCTACCCTAGAAAAAAAAGTGGACTAAACTGTCATATTTGTACTTTTACCATATATTTTAATAACTGTAACAGCAATTCAACCTACAATTCTTAGCAATGATTTTGCTTTGATAAAAGCTTATATATTTTGAACTTTAATATAAAATTCCTAAATCTGCATGTGTAATAAAAACATAATGCTGATGGTATTCAATACCAGTTGCTTTCTAATCTTAATATCATGGCAAAATCATGGATATGAATTTACATTTACATTGCAGGTTACACATGAAGTGTTTGTTCATATAAGCCCCTGTTCTTCTATAGTAAAAATTTCTGAATAAATGTAAAACAAAAGATTTATACTTATATGTGAAGCACTATACAGCAGAGCACAACAGTTCCCTAGCACAACCAGCCTGGAAAACTAAATATCACTGCTGCTCAAGTGAATTTGATGATTGTAACTAGCGGCATTTTTACACAGAAACAATTAACAATTTGAATTCTGGACCAATTTCCCTGCAGCATCTTTGCTGGGCAAGTCGATTTAAATTGGTATCATCACCCCCTGTATAGTTGTAATGCTTCATTTCTCTTCCATCATTCTGTTCCAATCCTTGTACCTGCAATCTGAAATCAAAGAAAACATGAATGAGATCCATCAGAATGCCTAAACTGAATGGTCTTAGCATTTACAAGACCACACTTACTATTTACCTGAAAAGTAAACACTGGGGTGTAGTTCTGAGTAATCGTCACTTTTAGTGATAAAGAACATTCATCTTTGTATCCTTCTTGTAGGACTACAAATAATAGACTGGAAGGGGAGATATCTCTACCAAGTACATGTTTGGTTACTCTAATATCATCGTAAGAATGCTGCACAAAAGTGACTAGGCTATATAACAAGAGAGGTGAATTCCTTGTTTTTCTAACAAGGCTGAATAAAAAGTTAAACCTTAGTAAACAATTAAGTTATTCAGTCAGACATATCAGATTTTATTTAAATAATGTTTATATCTTGCAACACAATTTTAGTTTCAAACGATTCTGATATAACATAATGACTTATTAACGTGTTACCTCATTGTGCTGATGTCAGTACAGTTAAAACAATTTCCAAAAGCTGAAAAAGATGCTCAGACCTGACCTTAACAAAATGTTCTTAGTGTAAAATCTTTCCTCATTACATTACAACAAAACGAAGTCCCTAGTTGGATCAACATGAGAATTATCTCTTACCTGCAAAATCGATACAATGACCCCAAACAATCCAATAGCACTGCCAAATATTTCAATGATGAGGATTTTAACGAAGAGGCTGGAATTCTGGGCATCAGCAAGGGCAGCTCCAGATCCAACAATACCCACACAAATACCACAAGCAACATTCGAGATCCCCACAGTCAGCCCAGCAGCAAACATGCGGAAACCTGAAAGGATTTGCAAATTATTAGCATGCAACTTTTGTTTTCTTCCCATAGATTCTGAAGCAAATTTAAAATCTCAAGTAGTGTATACTAATATTGTATACTATCATAAGTAGTCTATATTAATATTGTATGCAGTCATGACCTTACATCATTAAAATACCTCATACAAAGATGCAATAAAAGTCATCAATATACAATGGAACCATAGAAAATGTTGCCTTGGTCTTACTGTTTATGATCTTTATGATCCTGTTTAATCATTGGTGAGTGTGCCAGACCTACAATCTGAAGGGTTCTGTTAGAATCCAACTACTGGATTAGCCTGGCTCAGCTACTGTTGTGTGATGCTGGACAAGCACTTTACTCAAATTGCCACTGCATTGTCTAACTTTCATATTTAGCTATGCCAGAAGAAACCAATCAAAATTGTTTAGGTCCCAAAAGCCTTATCTTCAAGGGTTATTGAAAAAAAAACAATAGTGTACACAATGGTGAATTTTTACAGTCCACTAAACTGCTTTTTTTTATTATTTAAGTGTTAATGTATATTTAAATACAAGAACTTTCATGTACACATGATGATCATGAATTTAGTTAAGTGGATCAAATGCAATTTAAATATTTCAGCGTACCTTTACTAACCTTAAAAAAAAGTTATAAAATTATAATAAGACCAGATACACAATATTTTGGGGGTTTTCGCTTTACATCAAACTCAAACAATGTGATCCAAGATGTTATCACCTGAACTAAAGGTATGGATTGTCATGACCTCATCAATATCACCACCCAGTATTTACCTAAGGAATGCTTCATCTGAAGATGAATCACTCTGTGATTCAGCCAAATTGGGTTTTCTAAATAGCCCACATTTCAAACATGCACCTGTAAAACTTCATTCAAA